TAGTATAAGTACCTGGAGCTTTGCTTGGTTTTTTTTTGGTAAATCGTGTATTTTGGAAATAAAAAAAAAAAAAAAATATCTGGTATAGGAAAAAAAGTAAATGATCGTGATACGAACCGCGGCCTTCAGTTTCGGGGCCCCCCCCTTACCGACCCAGCTATTATAAAATTTTTTTTTGACGATATTTATCGTCATATTCGAATGATATTTTTTATTCCCTGAAAACAGGGATAAAAGGACATTTTATAAAAATGAAACCTAGCTAGATCGATTTTTCGCCCCCGAATAATAATAGCGCATAGGTACTAAATTTATATATAGCTTGTTTAAAGGTATTACATACATTCCTCGAAAAATTACAGTACATAATTTTTAACTAGGTAAAACATAGTTACGAGTCCATTTTTAGCTATTTTATAAAATATTAAGACCCCCATCGTGATATAAAAATTCAATATAAAAATTCTTGTGTCATAGTTTTAGTGTTTATACTCATCCGAAACGGCTTGATCGGTTTTGATGAAATTGTATTCGTATATTCAGTAGCTATCAGAATAGGTTTATAATTAATTTTTATACGCTTAAATGTTACGGGTGGCTCAACCTATTTTAATAATAGAAATTAATTTCAAATCCAAGAAAACATAGTGGTAAATTTTTAAGATTGAATTGCCACCTCAGATTACCAGAAAACGTTCTTTTCAATAAACCTCTGCTCCAAACATAATTCCATGTTCATTGAAAATCTAGGATAGATTTTCAATGAACATCGAATTATTTTTTCAAAATCTTGTTCGATTTACGTTTGTTTTTGACTGTTACAGAAGTAATGAGAAATGTCGTGTCGGAATGACTAACTAATATTTCTTTTTAAACGATTTAACGAGGTCAACTGTCAGATAAGGAAGTAATTTCATAATTGTTGTGTCTTTCTGTTATAAGTCTTTAATTGTAAAGAACATTATACGATTGTCCTTTCAATAGAGTAACAAAGTTAAATAATATTAAAATGATATAAAAATTAACTAGTGTTTTCGCTGCATGTAAATACATTGTTGTCACAATTTATCACTTCACTTTCAATTATGTAGCTCTTTATTTAATTAGCATCTAAAATTATCCAGCTCGCTTTATAAGGAAAAAGCAAGAGGCAAAACATGAGTGCGAACGCGCGCGCGCTTCACAGCGACAGTGGTAAAGCAATTAATGTCAATATATCGTCACATGTCAACAGTCGATGTCTTTGTTTCGCGCCAATGTCCCATTAACAAAGTTACACGTGCTGACATGTCGACTACATTTCAAAATTTTATCACCTTTATCACACATAGCAATAAAGTAAAATATCAAATGGCCTATATCATTCGTCGAAACAAGAAAGAAGTTTTCAATGTTTGACACAAACACATTCAGAGCTCTCCCATCCGCTCTCTGGTAATAGAATTTTACAGCTTTTTAATGAGCTCAAACCACTTACTAAATTTCAGCCGTGGGACAGTTCTTTTCATCTTTATTTTCCTTTTTTCAACCCGATGAATAATTATAAGAGGGGAAAGATTTAGCTAACGAGACTCGGGAGGAGTAGAGATTTATCTTTTCGTAACAAATTTAGAAAATGAGACATCAATGTGCGGTTAGCCGGCTTGCGTGTGTGCGTCCAATAATTTGTTTTATTTGTTTGTACGAGACGTCACAGGAGCAATTCAAACGGCTAATTTGAGTCTCCTGCCAGGAACATAAAAACCTAGGAGACTTTTCCAACTTTGACAAATTGTTAATAGACTAGCTTGCGATTTTTACAAACATTGCTGTTTATATGGGTTATTGTAACTTCGAAGATATTCTTTCCGACTTTTTTTAAATGAAGCATTCTTTATTTCTCAAATTTAAACTTATACAAAATCAATATATTTTTATAAATAAACATTGCCTCCTTGTCTCTACTGTAGAATAACAATATCCTTAGGTTAGGTGTATTTTGACATCCCCTCTGACCGGGTTCCCGCCTTGACGTGGCGGAGGGGCTAGTAGCCGTGGCTTGGTCCCATACGGCGAAGCTAAGAGGAACCCACACTGGGCCGACCTTTGGTGTAAGGCCGGCCCGAGAGGGCCGCTCCGAATCTATTTTGTCTTAGACGTCACAAATTACAGATGGACAAACACCCAGAACTATTGACTGGGCACACAGGCTTGTCCGTGTGTGAATCGAAGTCGCTACTTTAGGTTTTTTTTAATGTATGAAAAGTTGCCAAACGAGCAGACGGTTCACCTGATAATACCTGAATACCGCCGCCCATGGACATCTGCTACACCCGAGGGTTACAGATGCGTTGTCAACGTTACAACCTTTTGAAAATTGGGCTCCGGCTACCTCACTCACCAGACGAAACGCGAAAGGATTTGTCATACTTCCACTTTACGCTCGTCTTCTGTGAGGTCGTGGTACTTACCCGGACGGGCCTGCCCGTTCGTGCGCCCGGCCGAGGCTGCTGCGTGACCCTACCACCGTCAGTGCCAAAGCGTACGGCTTATGAACTGATATATATTATACAAGAACACATTTTCAACGGCAGGTTCAAAGATATGATTTGTATATAAATATTATTAATTAAAATTTCTAACAATAGTGTAATTTTAAGCATTTATATGAATAAAAAAGTTAAAGTTAAATTCAATTATTGTATATTATTACTTCCAAGGCGCGGCCGAGTTTATTTAATGATCACGTGAATTTTTACACATATTTTACACACTATATAATCGTCATTTAGTTATGTTATAGTATAACGTAAATACCATAAACATTTATATAATTGAAAGATACTATCTAATAAAAGGAAAAAAGTTTAAAAGATAAATGTCTCCGAGATATTTCTTTGACAACACTAAAAAATAACAACTCAAATAACAGTTAATTGACGCCAAAAATATACATGACACTCGAAGCAGAGGAATGGCGTATAATGTCAAATGGGTCGTGAAGCCGCGAAGTAAAGGAAACTTTAAATAATGAAATATTGTAGCTCGTGTTACAGAAGTTCGTCTTACAATGATTAATTGGTTAAATCTATTTAGTAAGCTTTTTAGTAGCTGTTTATCTGTGTGTACGTCACATTAAATAAATTAAGCCGACATTAATATATTATGCCGGCTAGAAAGGTACATTTTAGAAAAGCACTTAATAAAAAAATTGTAATAAGGTGTAACTTTGGCTATTTTTAATTTAGAAATTTTAATTATTTTAAATTTCACGCGGGCGAAGTCGCGGGTACAGCTAGTGCATAACAAAATGAACACCAAATGATTTTTGTTTTGTTTTTTTTTTTTTTGTGTTATTTTCTGATTTTTCTTATACATTTTAAATTTTAAAATGAATTGCCCATTCAATCGTATCCATAATTTTTTACGCGTTTTCTGTTTATACTTAATTTGGACAAGTCAGGTTATATCGCTAACGTGCCCAGGCAGTTTTTGTTTGGCTGTGAATTTTAAATTTAAAATAATTTTGTTTTAAAATCATTAAATTCTTTTTACAAAGTCGGTCTTTTGTTTTTTGGATTAACTTTGTAGTTTCATTACATTTGAATATTTTTCGTCATAATGGATACTTTTGAAAATTTGTGTAATTATGGAAATGAGTTCTGTCATGGCACCAACGCGGCACAAAAGAGACGTAACATCAACAACGTTTACGGGGAGAACTTAATAAATTCACGCACAATCCGTGCTCAATAAGCACAGAAATGAAGGAATTTTGAACCGAATTGTTACATGCGACGAAAAATGGATTCTGTTCGACTATCGAAAGCGCTCATCAAGTTAGTTGGATCCTGGTTCTGCACCAAAGCAATGTCCTAAACGAAAAATGAACCCTAGAAAGGTGATGTTCGCTGTTTGCCGGTGTGATTCATCACAGTTTTTTACAAAACGGCATTAGCATTACTGCAGATGTGTAATGTGAAGAACTGAAGGCAATGATGGAGAGGCTCACACATCTGCAACCAGCTTTGTTCAAGCGGTAGTCCCCGCTTCTCCTTCACGACAACGCGTGACCTAATACTGCACAACAGGCAGTCTCAAATCTGCCAGAGTTGGAGTTGGAAGCTCTCCTTTCCTTGCACCTACTGGCTATTACTTTTCCAAAATGTGGTAAACTTTTTAGCGGGAAAAAAATTCAATTTCCGAGAAGCAGTAAAAATGCCTTTGAAGAGTTTGTTGCTACCGCAGTGGCGTTAGCAAAGATGCATTATTTTCATGGGTTATTAGGTACTTTGAATAACAGACATAAAAGTTTGAACAAAAATACTTTTACTTATTTCATACAAAACAGCAATTTCATAGATAAATTCACGTGAAGAGCTTAAGATCCAAGAATTTTTAGACGTTAATAACTAAATAACTGTTCCAGTTGTGTTTATGAAACTTGGAGCACAAATGTATCTCGCAAGTCTCAATATATGAACAATGTTACATGTTAGTCATGTTACATGTTTATGTGAAAAAGTTTTTGAGATATGAGTGTCAAAAGTGGTTAGAAATGGTTCGTGTAATATTACATATAAGCGTAGCACGTAATATTACATACTTAGCTTACAGAACTTAGTTTGACACGGTACCGCGTGTCTAGATGGAGGTTGCGTAGAAAGCTGAAATGAAATGATTCCTCACTATCTTGTTCTAAATATAACAATAGACCGACGTGTTGTGAATTTTGATTCGAAGTTATTTAAATATCTCGTGAATACCGCATCAATTGTACTTTCTCGTTGTGCTAATATTGCGTTGATTGGACATAGTAAATCAAATTTTCTATTCAAAAATTCAATTAAGCACACATTATAGCTGCGTCTCGTAACGGTGTCGCGAGTCTAGATAATTTTATCTCATCTAAAAATAGGCGTACCGCACTAAAAGAAGTTTTCACTTCAAAAACTACAGTAATTATGTTTATTCGTTGGATAATAACATTGTGAAAAATAAAATGGTTTTCATGCTTATAGGGCCGTCGACGTGTCGTGGTAAAAGAGCGCGGACGGCATTCAGCGCTCAACAAATTAAGAGCTTAGAGGCTGAATTTGAGAAGAATCGGTATCTCTCGGTAGCGGCAAGGGGTAGGCTCGCCAGGCAGTTAAGGCTAACAGAAACGCAGGTAAAATCATATATTAAGCGTATAGAATTCGTTTTGTAGAATATTATTATTGTTACTTTATATCATCATCATCAGCCGTAAGACGTCCACTGTTGAACATAGGCGTCCCCCTTAGAACGCTATAACGAACGACACTTTGCCGTTTGCATCCACCGGTTGCCCGCGACTTTTAAGATGTCGTCGGTCCACCAAGAGGGAGGCCATCCAACGCTACTTCTTCCGGTACGTGGTCGCCTACTTAAGTTTCTTACTTTTTATATTATCCATAAATTTCTAGAATTTTTATGGTTTAAAGCATTAAAATTTGTAGAAAAGTGTAATGAAAGTTAAGTGCAGAGATTAGCACTATAAAAAAATTAAATTAGATTTAAAGCAATTTTATTGTTTATATAAAAATTTTCGAAGGCTTATAGACATACTACCGAAGAGCTGATTAATTTAAATATAATTTCTTTTGAGAAAATATTGTTTTATGTAATAACTGTATCTTTAGTAATAGGTACATTAATATCTTTTCCAGATTAAAATATGGTTTCAAAACCGAAGAACAAAATGGAAGCGAAAATACACTAATGACGTCGAGCTCCTTGCACAACAGTATTACAGTAGCTTAGGCATAGTCACGCCAAGACCAATGTTTGTGGGTGACCGTCTTTGGATTTTCAACTACCCAAATAGAGTACCTGCCACACATCAATCATGGATAAAGTCAATAAATAATATAGGCAACATCAATAGTAATGCACAGTTAGACAGAAACGCGTGCAGAAACTTGCCAAAACCTGATGTGCCACCATTTTTCGTCCAGGCAGCATCGGCAACATATCCAAATGAAAGAGTATTTTTGAATATGGAGCGTAATTTGAATATTGCAAATAATCTTAAAATTCATGCGCAAAATCGGATGGTCCCAATACCTAGAGAAGTTTACGGCAACATGGCAGCTGTACAACGGAACATGGATGTGTATAAAAACAACATTTTAAACCACAATAATTCGCCCCAAGAATCGAACATAGATCATTTAAGGAGGCTAGAAGAAAATTTTAGTATCTGAAACGCATTATACCAAAAAATGTAACTAACATATCCATATTTGTATCTGTGTAAATAAATTAAACTATAGGTACTGAAAAATGCAATAAAGTTCTTTAAATTAAATTATTTTTTTTATATGAAACATACATATATAATTATGTATGTATATCTTAGTTATGTAGAAACAACTCAGTGATCCCTCAGAGGTTCGAACCTCATTTGGACCGCGATCAATAGTGGTACCTATTCAGAGGAAGTCTTTTCTATTTACTGATGTTAACGCTTTTAGTCCCGAGACTATTAAAGCTTCATCGAACTCAGAGGAAGTATGAAAACAATGAGATTACGGAAATTAAATGATTTAAACGGCGAAAAAGATCAATCAATGAAAACCATTTATCTTCGAAAGGTAAAAGTTTCTATATAAAACTGGGAGGCATCATAGTGTTGTCGTAATGCACCAGATACATTGTTCTCCTGAGTCCGCGGGTCATCTGCATGTGAACCTTTTCCGACGAAGCTGTTAAAGCCGCTGCCGGCTAACATCAAAGTAATAAAAAAAAAGTCGATGAAACCCATAGGTCGATGAGTTGTCATGTGTTTATACTCACACTTTTTCTACTAAAAAATAAATGCTAATACCCATTGTCTACTGAAAAAGTGTGACTAAAAACACACGACAATTGATATTAGCATTTATTTTTGTATAGCATCGAGCGACAAAAAATACGATATATAACAATACGATATAAAACAAAAATACTAACACTGCAGTCTGGACACAAATGTTTTTAGTAATCTAGCAAGCAAACTTTGACACTACGTGTCACACTGTCACGTTACGTCATTGAATCAGTGTTCTCACTTCTGTCAGTGTCACAGTAAATATTGCTGTAGTTGTGTATGGTGGTGTTGAGATTTTATAAAAAATTTAAAGTCGTTTAGTTACAAGTGTTGAATATGCATTCTTAGTAACTTTCCTTAAAACTAGTTTCTGGAGAACATACGTCCGATCTGTTTTGTCTGAAAACCTTTAACTTACAATTTAAATACATTTATTTAACCGGGTACTCCGGTCAATCTAGAATGTTTACAGTTTATGTTACAATAAATCATGTAAAGGTAGCTCACTCGAGTAGACCATGGACTTGAACATTTTATAGCTTAAGTTTCATTCAAACATATAATGTTCAAAATGCGGATGAATCTGCGAAGACTCACTGTGTTACTTGTTGCGGTAGGAACATTATGGTTCCTAGTATCGCATTCATCCTTATTGGAAGTTCAGAGTTCCGTTTCACCACAACATAGCGTCGTGGAAATAGAGAACAGAATTAATAAACTTCAGCTTCAGATGAAGCAACAATTAACTGATAGCAATAGTTTGCTGGCTAAAGTTAAAAAACACCTAAAGAAAAGTGAAAATCAAATCTCCAACGAAGGACCGAACATGGCTATCAAAAATGAAATAGACTGGGAAAGTGAGTAAAATTTTTATTTATAACTTTTTAATTTATTTTTAATAATTGACTATAATAGAGTTGTATTATTGATGAATCTTTAAAGACATATATACACATCCTTAAATATGAAATTGGTGTTTTATATGGAAAAATTAGAATGAAAAAAAAATATATATCTAAAGTTATATATTTAATCAATTGAAGTATATACCATTATCATCTCTGTGCTTTCATCATTTTATAGGTAGTTCATTGATTCCATTCTTGAAAAAACTGAAAGCGAGAAGGAATAAAATAAAGTTTTTAACTTTAAGTGCTGACTTATGTTCCATGGTGAAGGAAAACATAGTGAGGAAACCTGCATATTTTCACAATAATAACAAAAAAAAATTTGAAGATATGTGAAGTCTGCCAATCCACATTGGGGCCGCATGGTGGACTATGCCCTAATACCCTCTGTATAGAGGAGGCCTTTGCCCAGCAGTGGGACATGTATAGGCTGTTACTTTACTTTACTTTACTATGTGTAAAAATAAAATTGATAAGGGAAGTATAAATTTTAATAGATTTATTGGTAAAAGTGTTTGACTATGACCATTATATTTAAAACAATAGAAAAAAAGATAACAGACATAGCTCAGAAGATTACTAAGCTGAAGTAGTGATGGGCGGCCATAGAACCAATAACCAATGGGGAAAAAAGATTCTTGAGTGGCAGTCTCGTACTGGATATCCCAGTGTAGGATGAATTAGATGGAGTGAAGACCTGTTCAAATGTGTGGGAAGTCAATGGAGAGAGCTTTTAATTTACCATTAAATTTAGTTATTTGCATGAATTTAACCAGAAAAAAATAGCTTGAGTGAATTGCTGAGAGCATCAACTTGAGTATATTCAAAATGCTTCTTAATAAAAAAATACAAAAAGGGATTTAATGTGTTTAACCAAAAGAAAAAAGAATATTATTGTTTCATTTGTATCTAAAAAATTATTTTAATCTTTAAATTTGTAACATTTTCACAAAAAATCAAACCATATAAGCATAATGAAAAATGTGTAGTTTAATGATGAGGACATTAACATGCAAGATATGATTTGAAATGATTTATAAGTAAGGTCAGGGAGTTATCACTGCCTCTCAAGTTTCTTAATTTAGATAATCTCTGAAAAATGTGTATTTTGTGGACTACAAGTTCATAATGCAATAAAACAATCTTAAATATGAATACAAAGTATTGTTAAATACATATAATGTTTACTTCAAATTTTTTTTAAATATAATACTATAAAATCAATCAAATTCATAAAATAAATTTAGTTTACAATAATTTCATCTATAAAGGTTCTTGCACATGTTTCAAAATTAAATACATATGATGCATCTCTTTTTTTAAAACATGTTTATTGTACATTTGGTTACGGAATTGTGACACAAATATTACAAAACATGGTGTTTATTTTGTAAAAGTAAAAGTAAAGTATCAGCCAATACATGTCGCACTGCTGGGCAAAGGCCTCCTCTGTACAGAGGGTATCAGGGCATAGCCCACCCACCATGCGGCGGATGTTTTCCTTGATGGCATAAACATGTGATAGCATGTGTGTTTATTTTGTACTGGCCATAATTTTAATTTATAATTGTAATCTTGTGAGTTTGTGTGGTACATATGTATAACTAACACAAAATTAACATATCGAATTACATGTGTTAAACATGTAACATACACACAACTTAGTTCATGACTATAATCATGTGGAATGTTTACTGAGGTGTATTAACTAAATTTATTATCTTTTAGTTCAAATTAAATCAATAAAACTATGTTAATAACTTAAAAAACGAAAGGCATACTTAAAGGTGCAATGGCTACTCCTATATGATGAATAAATATTAGGTCTTTACCTATGAACCAAAAGAAAAGTACGAAAAGATTGTCGCCGCTGTGGGAATCGAATTCAGGCATTTAGCTCAGTGGCTAGAGCGTCAGGCCGCGAATGCCGAAGACGTGGGTTCGATTCCCCCAGCGGCGACAATCTTTTCGTACTTTTTCTACATGTTTTAAAGTAATAGTTGGTAGGTGCAAGTTCTGGTGAGTATGGCGGATGAGGGAGAGCTTCTAACCCTGACTCTTGCAGCTTGTAGACTGTTTGTTATGTAGTATAGGGTCGCGCGTTGTCGCGAAGGAGCAGCGGGGACGACCAATTAAAGCTTGCTTGCAGATGCGCGAGCTTCTCCATCATTGTCTTCAATTCTTCACGGTACACAGCTGTAGTAATGCCCATGCCGTTCTGTAAAAAGCTGTGAAACAAAACAGTGACCATCACCTTTCTAAGGGTCATTTTTCCACCAGGATCTAACCATCTTGCTAAACGCTTTCGATTGTCGATCAGAATCCATTTTTCGTCGCAGGTAACAATTCGATTCAAAATTTCATCATTTCTGTGCCTGTGGAGCAGCGCGAGGTAGGTCTCGACGCGTACGGTGCGCTGGCGATCGTTAAGTTCGTGGGGCACCCATCTATCAAGCTTTTATACCTTGGCCATTTGTCGCAAATGGACCAATTTAGATGCCAACATCAAAAACTGCTGCTAGCTCGGCTGCAGATTGAGTATCATTAGCTTCCACAATCGCCTTTAATTCATCATTGTTTACCATAGTGTCCGGAAGACGACTAGGTTCAATTTTCAAGTCAAAATTCTCAGTTTGGACCCGGGCAAACCAATAATGGGTTGTGCGTTAGTTTGTAAAATTCGTCTCCGTAAACTTTTTTGATATTACGCCGCGTTGGTGCCACGACGGAACTAATATTCCTTAATTACACGAATTTTTAAAGTATCCATTATCACGAAAAATATTCAAATGTAATGTAAATACAAAGCTAATCAATAAACAAAAGACTGACAAAAGACAGACTGCAAAAGAATTTCATGTTTTTAAAACAAAATCAATCATACGTAATGGCCACGGTTATGAACGTAATACTCTTTACTTCAATCATACATTCCATTTTAAAAATCAATCAATCAAAATAAAGACTATCTCATCAACTACAAAATGTCGTTCGAAGCGGAATTGATTTAGCACTTATTATTTCCAATCATTTTCAATTGCACGATTTTATTGTTTTCTGTTTCATTGCAATACAATATCCGTTGTTATCGTAGCAGATATCATATTGTGTCACATTATCCGAAAGGGGACGTAATGGTTTTTTTTGATGTCCAACAAATTTTCGCTTTCATTTCAGCTATAGGCTATAGGTAATATTTGTGTATGATATAGACATTATTAGCGAGGCATACATATCTATAAAAAATAAGAAGTTATGATATGGCTTTTCCAAGATTAGAAAATTCTATGTCCAACAGCATTATAACCTATTCTTTTTTAGTAAAATAACATACATTTTAAAATCTTATGTCAATTTATAGAAAGGTTTTGAAGGACTAAGGCATGTTCGTTGTTAATTTGTTTTTTGCCAAAGATTTGAAAAAATCATCAAACAGTTTTATTTACATATACTTTGTGTATCTACGGCGTTCTTTTACTAAAATATTTTCAATTATTTACTATTGGATTTTTAAACCTTTGTGTTTTGTTCTGTATCAGATCTGCATTTAGCACCTGCATCCGTATTACGAGATAATATTAAAACTGTTTAAATGTCAAACATGGTTTGCGAGCCTGTTTAATTTCTTTTTATCCACATCGCTGTTGCATGGATTGGCAGGTCAATCCGGGGGAGTACCACGAACTCACAGAAAACCGGCGTGAAGTGGAAGTGTTATACTTCTGCGTTTCGTCTGGTGAGTGAGGTAACCGGAGCCCACTTTATTAAAAAGTGGCAACCCGTATGTAGGGTGGTGCAAATTTCCATGGACAGCGGTTATCACTTAACATCAGGTGAACCGCCTGCTCGCTTGCCACCTTCTCCCATAAAAAAAAATCAACAAGACTTTACTGTCAATTTGCGTATCAGTAGACCTATGTTAATACCTAGCATCGTAAGCGTTCCTCAACGTACAATCTAGGCACCCGATAAAAAAGTGGTAAAATAAATCTTTGATGGATTATTTCAAAACTATCCTATTTTTAGTAACTGGATGTTGTTACGTAAATAACAATATTTTTTCAGGCATTTCCAATCCCATATTACCCGTTCTCGTGATTGCTTGCGATAGAATCACAGTGAAGCGATGTCTGGACAACTTGGTCAAGTTCAGACCGAACAAGGAGACATTCCCTATTATCATAAGTCAAGTAAGTCCACCCGTATATTGAATCTTATCCGTCTCTAATACCGGAGTGGGATATTTTATAACATATGTCATTACGTTATTATCCTTCTAGATACATACACGTTTCCTTGCGATGTTTTCCTTCTAACAGTGGTATATCAACAGGCAAAATTGCAATTAAATTGTCCCTGGTGCTGGTTACTGGGATTTCATCTCAAGTGGATCAAGTAGATTGAATTCTATTAGGTCAAAGCTACCACAGCTCGCCAGTTTTACTATTAAACGTGGCATTTTATGGCCAAATGCGTTTCTATAGGTTCATTAGAATATAAAATAACTGCAAATCATGCATTTGTTATACGGCTTATTTGCTATTGCGAAATAATCACACAGAATTTCAATGGCCTAATACGCCAAAATCGATGTCCTATTTATGTATTTAATTCTCAAACGTAGCAATTTCTGATACTTAACGGAAGCCATTTGAACGATTTTGATTTGCAGGTAATAGGGCCTTAAAATAAGAGCATGGTTACTTCGCTGCAATTTTATTATATATCACTTTTATACAAGTACTACTCTGTATAAAAATGTATATAACAACTCTGTAAGTCGGTTTTCAGATTTCTATCAAATTCAATTAATATTATAAACAATTAACAGCTATAATTATTACAATTTATTACGTATCCCAGCTAGAAGGCAAGAATTAAAATGCCACTTAAACACTTGTAATGTATTTATTTTACTTATTCAAACTTGGAATATTAAAAAAAAATAAGTATGTTGCGTTGTTGAATGTATGTTGCGTATTTAAGCTCTCGTCTGGTTGGGATATAATTTTTGAGTATAAATACTAATGTAATATTAAGGCTATAAGACAAATAAAACAAATTAGTATTATAGCAATAGTAATTATTTATTCGATTTCTTTATTCTACCTACTTTAAAAACCTTGAAATGTCTCTAACGTTACCAGTAGGTACAGATGAAAAGATTAACTTATGTGTTTCATCCTTCAAGTGCTTCATCTAACTGGATCATATTATTTTTATTATATGAGAGAATTTGCTGTTACCGATATAAGCAAATGAATCTAATAAAAATACTTAATAACTTCAATAAAATAAAAAATTCAGTCACTACATAGCACATAGTCACGACTACAAAGCAGCGGTAAATTTTTGTTTCGTTCTTCGTTTGATTACTGGAAGATTTCGTTCTCTCGATTATTTGTGCAGCATATAATTATGACATTATGATGGGTAATTGTTTTGCGGAAGTTTACTCTTATCTTTTTTCGTTTGAAGATAGGAATAATAAAAGGATAGTATATGAATGGTAATCCTTTTTAAGGGACTATAATTATTATGAGAGGACTTTTTATTCTTGACTAGTGCATCCGACAGACGTCTTGTTCACAAGGCTTAAATCCGACAACTTATAAATAAAAAAAATGTAGTGGAATGAATTGTGAATCTAAACCATTTTCGAATCGACCTGAAGACACACAGAAAAATTCATAAAAATGCCGGTCAATCCGTTTAGTAGGAGTTTAGTGACATTCACACGCATAGAAGACATATCTGTACAGCGTGTCGTTACCATCGCGACAATAAATGAACACACATATAGGGGATAACTTTTTAAAGTTGTATTAAACATTTAAATTCTTTAAACATCAATATTTACAGAGTTATTAAATTTTCCAAAACAAAGAATTTTAGAACACCCTTACCTATAAAAGCGTAACGTAAAGTTCATTTGTAAAGGTCACAAAGCGTATGAATGGGTTGAATCAATCTTTGTTTGACGTACGCTTGTATTACGTTTGACGTTCATTCATGTCATTGTCGCTTCTTCTTCTTCTTCTTTTCTTTTTTGGCGGTTTTCAATGAATACGCCAATGAACACTTCTGGTTGTTTATTTTTGCCTAACTTTTATAATGAAATGATGAAGAGAATGATTTTATGAATGTTAAATATGTATATTTTTATATATAGAATATCTAAACAAATTTACATAATTATAGCAATTACCTAGAACAAAGAAAATAAGATTGTAATTATTACGCTAAGTTCACAACTTAATATTACAACTATTAATAAAATTACACAAGATATAAACAAATGAAGAATTAACATATGTTTAAAGGTTATTGATATTAGATGGACGAGGGATGCTAGAAGGAAGATGATCATGGAAGGAACCTGTAATTCTGGGACAGTTGAAAAATATATGATCAGGTGAATCATCATCTAGGCCACATTCACAGATGGAACTATCTTTTATTCTTAATTTGGCAAGATGAACATTAGTGCAGACATGCCCTAGTCTAAGTCTGCAGACAATAGAGGTGGCATGCTTATTGGCTTTAGGAAAATTAAAGAACCATGGTTTGGTTGGAATATCAGGTTGGATTGATGCATAGTGTTTCCCTCTCTCTCTACTAGATTTCTTCCAGAGCTCATACCAAACACAGTTTGATCTGATTTTAGCATATGATAATAAATCATGAGAGAAACAAGTATATTGGGATAGGGAGCCAGTTTTAATTGCTTCCTTGGCACAATGGTCAGCAATTTCATTTCCTTGAATATCACTGTGCCCAGGAATCCAAGCTAGAGAAATCAATATTCCTTTCATATGACACCTGTAAAGAGCGGCTCTAATCTTGTAAATTAAGGGAAAATTAAGTTTGTAACGGAAAAGATTAGCTAAAATGGCTTGCAAACAGCTTTTAGAATCTGTGAAAATGATAGTTTTATTTAAGTCATGAGATTCTGCAAATAGGATAGCCTCAAGTATAGCTGTAGCCTCACCAGTAAAAACTGAGCTATAGGGCGGGCATTTAAAATTAAGTATTATTTTATACTTGGGAAACCATACTGCAGCTCCCAACACACCCCAACTGAGACATTTTGGAAGCATCTGTGTACATTATATGCCAATCTTTCCAAAACTTATCAAGAGCTAGTTTCAACTGTAATGGAGCCAATCTAGAATTTTTCTCAATTCCAATATCAAGTAAAACACTAGGTTGATATACCAGCGCTTCATAAGGGGTATCATATAAAGGATTCATTTTGCATTGGTATATAGGACAGGGTAATTGCAGAAAATTGAGAAAACTATTAAATAGACAAGGAGAATTTTTTTTTAGACCAATAGCCTCCTGTTGATATATATTCAGAAAGTAAATGGAGTTTGGCAATGAGAGGGTGATTATAATTTTGCAATGCCTTGTACATGAACCTGTCTGACAAATATTGCCTTCTTAAATGCAGGGGTGAATCCACACATTCCACTTGGAGAGCATTCCTAGGGGATGAATTCATAGCTCCAACAATTATTCTGAGACATTTTGTTTGGATTTTATCTAATGAATTGAGAGCTGCTTTATTGCAAGGTTCTAAGAGAAAGGAGGCATAATCCATATGACTTCTAACGAGAGCATTGTATACTAATTTTTGGGAATATGGATGGGAACCCCACCAAACTCCTGAGAGAGATCTAAGGATATTAATATTCTTTTCACATTTTTTGGTGACATATTGTAAATGACTAATTCCAGACAATTTAGAATCAAGTATCAAACCCAAAAATTTTGCTTCACTTTTCACTGGGATTCTTTGATTATCAAGAGTTATATTAACCGAAGGAATAATTCTATGTTGAGAATAAATAACAATAGTACTTTTCGGAATTGATATAGATAACCCGTTATCATTCAGCCAATTTTGGAGATAGTAGAGTGAGGTATTGAATCGAAACTGAGCAATGGAAATATCATCTACAGAGACATAGAGAGCCAAATCATCAGCATATTGTAGGATATTACAGAAGCAGTTTACTGAAAGTGCAAGATCATATGTGTATATACTATACAGCAAGGGACTTAGAACAGACCCTTGGGGAAGACCCTTCCAGACAGATCGAGGAGGAAGAAAAGTATTTTGGCTATTTAAAAGGATACATCTACCCGAGAGGAGATTAAAAATAAAGTTTACTAATTTTAAAGGAATTCCTAGGTTGAGCAATTTATGTCTAAGTAAAGGAAGAAGAACATTGTCGTAGGCAGATGAAACATCAAGAAAACACCCCTACAAGATATTCTCTTTTTGAAAAGGCTATACGGATATCAGTAATCAAAGTGCTTAAACTATCAATAGTACCAATACCTTTTCTAAAACCAAATTGACTTTTTAGGTAGTATTTTTTTGCTTTCTATAATCCATTCTAGACGATTCTTTATTAAGTGCTCAAGAATTTTAGCCATAGTGCAGGATAGAGCAATTGGCCTATAACTATGTGGATCATTATTGGGTTTCCCAGGTTTGAGAACTGGAATGATAATTTGCTTTTTCCATTCATCTGGGGGAACACCGGAAGACAGGATGTGGTTTAAAAGATTAAGAAAAAATATTTTAGTATTTGGTCCACTTTTAGATATAAAAGAATAAGGAATACCATCAATTCCAGGCGAAGAATCTTTAAGGGATCCTAAAACAATTGAAAGTTCTTCTAGAGAAAAAGGTCTGTCAAAAAATTCTGCAGATGTTAAAGGGGAATTATAATAAATCATTGATTCCTGAAAAGATGGAGCAATAGGAGGGGCTAAATTTTGAGCAAATAATTCAATCCACGGTGCAGTATTATTTGAGGATATATTGAAATTATGTGATACACCACAACGGAATCTTTTAATATTTCTCCAGACTAGAGAAGAGGGTGTGGCAGGGGACAGAGATTCACAGAACTTGTGCCAACCTGCCCTCTTTTTGGATGATAAAACTTTAACAGTTTTTGCTGCTTCATTTTGATATGCCATAAAGTTTTGAAGAGTCATGGATTTAGCATAAATTCTTTCAGCTTCCTTTCTTTTTCTGCAGGCATTGTAGCATTCTTGATCCCACCAAGGAGGGGATTGAATTGGAGTTTTATATTGTTTTTTAAGGGGGAATGCTTTATCTGCTGAAGATATGAGCATATTTTTAAAATCAGAATAAGAAGATAAAAAA